CCCTCAGTCCCGCCGGCTTTGTGGCTGCCCTCCTTAAAACCCTGATTTTGTTTTGGGGCCCTGGAACTGCCCTTCGATGAAGTGGCTCCGAGATCACGGGAGCTAAACATACCAGCAGCTGCTAGGCTCCCAGGGACCGTGGCTGGTCCTCACCCTCGTCTTCATACCAGCTGCGTTCCCAAGTGGATCAAAGCTCCCGCTCTTTCCCCGTCGGGCCTGGGGCTCGGGATCGAGTGGCAGGGCCTGCAGCTGACAGGGGCGGGCGAGGGGCCCTCTCACCTTCCTGCGGCCGCGGCCGGCCCTCCTCTTCATCGCTTCGTAGAACATGAACTGCACCGCGGGGTTGAAGACCAGGAGGAGGGAGGGCAGCGTGCCGTTCCACAGGGCCCCCAGCCCCTCCCGGGCTGCGATCTGGGAGAAGGCATCTAGAGAGACAGGGGGGGGGCTGTGTTACGCAGTGCCTGCAGGACAGGAGTTGACTCATGTGGTCTCACGTCAGGCCCAGCTTTAAAAGCCAAGGCAACACGCGGCGTGGTCTGACAGGGTGGCTCACCGAAAATGCCCTTATAGTGAGTCTGCTGAAGCTCCTCGTTCCTGAACCTGGCTCCCTGCAGCTTCAGCCTGGTGTTGACGACCCACATGGGGGTAGTCAGGAGGACATTGACGGCCCCTGAAAGACACCGTGAGCTCAGCCGGGCTGGGAGTTCAGCCTGCAGAAACCAACGCCTCACACGTTGGTTTTCAGTACAACCTTCCTTCTCACAGGAGACATTGGCTTGGAAGATTCACTCTCCTCGGCTCACGCGAGTTCTGTCTAGACTGTGGGCGGCGCCCTCTCACCCGAGATGAAGCCCATGAGCAGGTCTCTGCCCGGCCGGGACCGGCCCCTCTCCAGCGCCCACAGGGCCTTCAGGGTGTTGAAGGTGTAGAAATACACGAAGTTGGAGCAGCAGAGGCTGGAGATCACGGGAAACCAGCCGCGATACAGAGCCGGGCTGCAGGAAGAAGAGGGAAAGCCCGCTCCCAGGCATCACACATCCGCGGCGGCTCAGGCCCCCCCGAGCCGCGACAAAGCGGCCCCCGACCAACTACCCTCTCCGCCATGGCCGACCTGCGCTGCTGTGGGCAAACGCAGTCCCTGGCCAGAGCGCAGCAGCTGCTCACTAGGGCCTCCTCCCCCTGGGGGAGGCAGGGGACCATGCGCCCTGCGGCAGGTCCGGCTCGTCACGAGACCCGCCCCGGACGCCGACCCCGGCTGTACTTACACCCCCTCCTCCTTCGCGATCTCGGCCAGGATGACGGGAGTGGACCTGGACTTCCGGTGCTCGTCCACTGAAAGTGACCAGCCACACAAAACCGTCACCGCGGCGGCCGGAACTTGACCATCAGTGTGCAGTCCCTCAGAGCTCAGAGCAGAGCCTCAGCGCTGGGGGACTCTTCGAATAAAGACCGACACAGTGCCCATTCTTTCACCCTCCCGAAGTCAAATTGTTTTTAATAAAAAATCACCCTCAGTTAACATCAGAGCCGCCTTTTAACCCTTTCAGAACAATAACGAGAACAAAGCAAAATAAACACTGCCCTCAAACAGAACAGACATGGCCCCAGTGGGCGCTGTGCCCAGTTAGACCCAGGTTCATGAGGTCAGGAGGTCATGTGATCACGGGGCACCTGCAGCACAGTGCAGCTGTCCCGCGGCGGGTCTGGGTCTTGTGCTGGTCAAGAGTTTGGTCTGAACCGAAAGCGTTGCTGGTACCCCTGCCCGTCTCACCTTGCAGCCGGATCCTGGCCGTGTCCAGCGGGAAGAACACGCTCATGGCCGTCGCGCTGCCCTGCGGAGGCACGGAGCGGCGGGGGGTTAGCGCCGACACGGAACAGCCCGCACTTTCAACCCGCCCCTCGACGGGGCTTTTTCCGCTCGGGGGCGGAAAGAAGAAAGAAAAAAAGGTCCTGAACGATCAGACCTTGGCACGGTTACTTTTTGCAATGAGACGCTTGTCATCTGCGTTGACGTATTTAGCAATGCGGTAGTTTGTATTTTGTGTTACCGTGAAGCACGCTGGCCGGGGCTCTGTCTCGGTCCGCAGACCGGATACAGAACCCGCAGCTAGGCGCCGGTCAGATAAAAACTCGCACTAAAACATGACTTTCCGAGACTTCTGGCACCAGCGCGATGGCGTTGAAGTGAAAAGTACATAAAGACGCGTTGAGACCCTGAAATCCGAGCTCAGCTCGTCCAGTTTGCCCCGAGTCTCCTACCACAGCCCCAGCGACGGCGTGTACGAGGGTCTCATAAGACAGCAGGCCGACGGCGGCCACCGGGGGCTCCGACATTTCCTCCTGCTGAGGCGGGGGCGACATCTCGGCGCGGTCCTGGCCAGGGCGCATGTATAACACCACCGGCTCCAACTCCTCTCCGCTCCCGGGCTGACTGCGGCAAACGGCCCTCCCTCCTCGCTTCCTCCTGCGTGCAGAGGAGGAGCTACGCCGGAGATGGCTCTCTGTGTCCTGTAGGGCGGGGAGGAGGGGGGAGGGATCCCCGACATACAGGTGTTTCGGGTCCGACTTGCGGGAGTCCAGGAGAAACTGAGCAGGAGGCAGCGGGTTTGCGCGAGTTCCGTTCAGTTTAGTTGTCACCTGCCCCAGCGCAGTGAAATGCTTATTTGCACTTAGGCTCCGATACAAAGGCATTACAAGGAATCAACAAAAACAGAAACACAGAACAGCTGCAGCAACAACAACAACAACAACAAGAAGTTAAAAAAAACATGCAACTTAAAAAAAAAAGTCAGACAAGTAGTGTAGGTTGGGAACATCAGGGTGAGCCATTAGGCGAGGTATTGGGGTGCTGTTAAGGGGTTTTCTTGGGGTCTTTTGAGGGTGCGGGTCTGTCTGGGTTTCTGCGGGCAGCCTCGAGTCACGTGGGTTTTAGCGAGCGCCCCCCAGAGGAGAGTCCCGGTACTGATTCGGGCCCGGGCTGTCCCGCAGCCGGGCGAGGGAGCCCAGACAGAGCCGGCTTTTCCACAAGTAAGGGCTGAAGAATTCACACCCCACTAGCCACGACTGGCTCGGCGGAAGAAAAAAACAAGAGGAGCCGAATTCGCGGCGAATATTTTAATTAGAATCAGCTCCGTCAAATCTCTTTATGTTTAATATCCCCTGCTCTTTTTTTTTGCGTTTGTCAAAAGAAAAATTTAAATATTTCGTTTTGGGAGTTTTTTTTAAAGAAACTTTGGTTTACCCTAGATCATTTCACTTCCACTGTCTTCCATACTAATGGAGATACTAGTACTGTCTAAAGGGGTTGGTTGGTGCTGAATTCATGTTGCACGAATTATATTTTGCTGTGGGTAACTTTATTACTTATGTCTATTGCACCATTGTGTAGTTTGCTTTTATATTGCTGTAGGGCGACTCGTTGATTGCGAAATAAAAGTATTTCGTGAATAGCAATGTTTTCCGTTGTGTTAAAGCCAGGCTCTTAACGGTGTAATCCTAAAATGATCTCGGCTAGCCGACAGTGTAACAATGGCGGCACTGTAGGCTCATCTGTAGGAGTGGTACAATAATAACAAGAGAATTAACTGACCTACCGAAAAGAGCTCCTCCTTTGACCTCACGTCTTTAATGAGCACATTGAGCAGACAGAACAAACTGTTCCCACAACCCGGAGGAATTAAGACCCCCTGGTTCCAGATCTGCGTGCGTGTCGGAGCGGAGGCGCATCATCTTAATTACAGCAGCTACTTATTTCAGGGCGAGCCTGTTCAACTCAACTATTAATATATTTAAAATAGAATTTTAAAACCCATACAGCAATTTTGTTGTTATGAAAGATATGACTGTGTGCATAGTTGAATCATCGGTTATTAAGACGTACGGTATTAAGTAATATGTATATATTTCTAACTTAGTTCAGGTGGGTAGCTGTGTCAGCATGCGTAGGCTGGAAAGGAACAAGTAATAGGTTTATTCCTGCTGAAAAGAGAAGAAAACACAACGTTTCGGCCGTGGAGCCTTCTTCAGGTGTGGAATTTTATTTTCAGCACGGACTAAACCTATTATTTCTAACATATACATGTTAGAAAACAAGCCTTATTAAGTCATATGTAGTTACAGCCTTAACTAGAACAGAATTTTAGTTTTTCTCGTTCAAAAAGTGACTTTAGTTTCCTTTAAAAGAAACAAAATAGATATGTTATTTTATAGTAATGTCTCCTTGGATATAACACAGATCGAGTCACTCCATGTCTCGATGTGTGATACAATTATGTTTTGATTTTTGCCGAAGAGGAGGGAGAGGGTGAATTTCATTCTCCTTCTTGTAACACACCGCAAAGAGCGGATCGATGAAGTCCTCGCCGTACAAACTGGCGTCTCCCCATTTGCGCCACCCTCAGCGCACACCGAGCCGGGAGAGATGGACTTTGCCTGCGATTTATGGCCCAGCAGGTGGAGGTGGCGACTCGGTCTTTATCTTCAGCCCTTCGTGTTGAAGAGACTCTTGTTTTCCAGGCTGGCGGGGGCGATCATGCGAGGCGTCCTGCGGTAGAGGCGCTGGTCTGTGTCCCGAGGTCTCGCCATCAAGCTGAGAGAGAGAGAGAGAGGAGCGGCACCGGTCATCATGTCTACGAGGTACCATAAAGCGGCCATCGATGGCTATCTGGACCTGCTGAAAGAGGGCACCAGGAAGGATCTGAACACCCCGGATGAGGACGGCATGACCCCGACCCTCTGGGCGGCTTTCCACGGACATCTCGAGGCGCTGCAGCTGATCTGCAGCAGGGGGTGAGTAAGGCGAGGAGCCGGCATCCGTTTCGTCGAGCGGCCGGTGAGGCGACTCACCGGGGCGAAACCCCAGAGCAAACCTGACCGTAGAGGACAGACGGGATTGTAAAAGTACAAAAAGTACACTTTTGTAGACCACGAATGGCAAAACCTACCCTTATTTTTTTTAAACTAATATTTTGTGTGCAAAATGCTTGAAAGTCCCATTTCCATATATTAATACAACGTAGTTTTAACTTTTTTTTTCCTTTTGCGTAATATGTAAAAAAGCTTTTACTTTTCTCAAAAAACAGAAAAAAAACTAAAAAATCCATCCAGAGATTTTTTTAATTAAAAATATTCACGATGTGAATTCTGTTCTCCAGCAAATAGAGATAATATAAATGGCATTTTTCCTCCTACTTATGCTTCAGTAATATGTCAAATGTCCTTATATTCACCCCCTCCTTACTTTTTAATGTTCTCTAAAATATTCCGCATGTATTTGGACGTTGATTTTGTCGCACAGCGTCTTAACGATGTACAGGATATTATTACGGGATACTTTACAATATTATATCGCCTTCATCGATCTCTTCCGCCTGTGATCTCTTTTATCTGTTTGACTTCAATCAAACAGTATCTCAGCAGGTGCTGAAAGGGTCCTGCACTTCATTTTCGATCAGAAAGCGGGTGGCGCGAGTGACGCGCGTCCCTTAACGTTGATTTAAACGCCTTGAACGTAGTGTAGCTGGTGCTTTCATTTTCCGTTCGCCAAACGACCTGACAAGAATGATGCCGGAGTTAAACTGCGATCAGCGACCATCAAACCAGCCTCCCCCAAGTGCTGTAAACAAGCGCTTCCCATTTTAATGAAAAAAAAAAGGGAATAAACTCAGAAACAAAAGCCTACAGTCTACAAACAGGAGGCAGAACAAAAACAGAACGGAGTTGCTCACGTCGGCTTCCTCAAAGGTGGGTGGGGTGGGTGGTATTGCACATACCTGCAAAGTCTCTTCATCGGATGAGACCTTTATACCCTGCAAGACGACACTTCCTCAGTGCTCTAACACAGACATAACGTCACCACAGAGAGTTCTAGACACTTAGCTAGCAAGGTCAGCTGAGCTCTTTGTTTTTGCATTGCACGGTTTTTCTTTTTGTTCACCAGTTCCTCCAGTTTTCAACTCCACTCAGTTCAGTCTCCAAACACCCAGAACTTCCAACAGCGGGTCAAGCAATCCGGACCCCAAGACAAGAGCTGGGCCCTTCCTTCCTCACGCTTTCTCCCAGGGAATCCACTGATCTCTGGGAAGGTGGCGATGGTACAGCCGCACGCAGCTGTATCATGAGGCCCAGACCAGTGAACGCGCGGGGGAGCTGATCTGGGGACCGTGCAGCCGGTGTCACTTGTACTTGTGGGTTTGTCAAAGCTTGAGAAACGCGAAGGGACACCACGGGCAGGTATCGAAGGTTGCTGTGAGATTATCACCTGCTGTATATAACAGCTTTCAGCAGGTATCAGTGCAGCTTTTTAATCACACGGGCGAAGTGATCAAACATCGTTTTTTTCTGAAACAACGGAATATCATTTCAACAAAGTTCTTTTCTCCTGGGATTTTGTTGCAGGACCACATCAGCCTGTTGAAGCCTTGACATATTTTACAATGGCTTTTTTTTTTTGCTGCGTTTGTATCGTGAAATATCGTTTAAAAACTCTCGCCCCAGTTTGCGTCACTTGCAAAGCTTTTTAGGAGCTGAAGCTTTTTAGGAGCTGAATGATGCCAGAGATCTAATCAAGCAAAACAGAATAATGCTCAAACAACACAAAGGGCTCTTTCAGTTCAGAGAGGTTTGAGACTTTACTCTGCAGCTTTTCAATCGCATGTGTTCACACTGTAGCAGGAGAGAGCCAGAGAGAATTTTAGTCATTATAACAGAAAAGATCTTACATTGTTTAAAAAGTATTTTAGTGAACATTAATGTAATGAGGGTGAAAGAACAATAAATGATGTGTAACAGCTAATTACTTTATTTTATGTTTTTATT